GGGAAAGAGAAATGACACCATAAGGATACCATTACCAAAATCCAAAATGTAGTAAAAATTTACAGGAAAAATTTACCTGGTTTCAACAAATAAATGGAAATGAAAAAGCATTTGTGGAGGAAATCCATAAACTACAAGACTTAAGCACACATTAACCAAATGCAAGGTGTGAACCTTTTTCAGATCTCAATTTGAATAAACAAAAAATTTTTAAAAAGACACAATTTGGGGTAATTTAAACACTGGATATTTGACATTAAGGAATTATTGCTAATATTTTTAGGTGTGTTAATGATTTTGTAGTTATCTATTTAAACTAATTTTTTCCCATGATATCTTTTTTTTTCAATCGCTCAGATATCCCAGGTAGTTGTGCCATCATTAGCTCTTTTTTCTTTTTTTATAACATTTTATTTATTGATTTAAAAAAATTTTTTGGAGTATAGTTGATTTACAATGTTGTGTTAGTTTCAGGTGTACTATCATTTTTCTGATAGATATTGGTAACCTTCTGTACTGATTATTAACGGCTTTATTGAGACATCATTCACATAAAATTCACCCACTTAAACTGTACAATTCACCCACTTAAACTGTATAATTCAATGGTTTTTAATATACTCAAGAGTTTTACAATTTTAGAACATTTTCATCACCCCCAAAAGACACAGATATCCATTTAGCAGTCACTCACATCGCCTCTAAAACTCCTCCAGCTCTATGTAACCACTAATTTATTTTCTCTATGGATTTGTCTATTCTGGAAAAAATCATTATCTTTTAGAGATACGTTCTTAGGCATTTATGCGTGAGATGATGTGTCTGGGATTTGCTTCAAAATCATCCAGTGGTGGCTGAGAGCAGGTAGGGATAGATTAAATTTAAAAAGCAGAATGCTGACAGTAAATGCAGCTGAGTAGTGCATAGAGGAAGCATGGGGTTTCATCATACTATTCTCTTTACTCTTGTATGTTTGTAATTTTCTGTAATAAAAACAAACAAGGTCGTCTATTTTACCATAATGAAAAGCCCCAAGGTGGGCATAGGCAATATTGATTCAGTGACTCTGGGAGGATCCCATTACTTATTCTGGTTCTTTCCATCTTTCTGCTTTGCCATTCTCAGCATGTTGACTTTGCCTCTTGGGCTGGTTTCCTCATGGTGCTGGCATGGCGGTACTTTTCTATACATTACATGGATACAACACTGTCCAGAGGCAATATAAGGGGACACACTAGTGTCTTATGTCCATTTTTAAGAGAGAGGGAAACTGCCCCAGAAGCCCCCAGCAGACTTGTCATTTTCTCCTTGGCCAGAATGCCCTTGACTAATTCAATCACAGGGCAAGAGGTATGAGACCACTCCATCAAGACTCTACTTTGGGAAGCTAGGTTCCAGACATTCTGGAAGAATATACAAATTGCAGAGTCACATGAGCAAGTATGAAGTGTGCAAATAAGAAGCAATGGCCTTGGGTAAAGCAACCAAGAAGGTCAACTCCAGGAGAGTCAAGGCAAGAAGACTGGTCACAGGAACAACCCAGACACAAGAGCACAATCCAGGAGCTTAACGATGCCTGAGGCTCAAGTAGAGCCAGAGTGGTTCCCACCAGAAGGCAGGCCTAGGAAGGTTTCCTGTGGTCTCTCCCTCCTTGAAAAGCCAGGGCAGGTTACCAGGTCTGTGGGTCTTAGCCCCACAAACAATGGCCAGACCACATATAACAGAACTCTCTGACCCACAATCTCTGTAGCAACAGGCCCAAAACAGGACTTGGTCACTAACTGCCAGCTTCCCTATTTTTTGCCCCTGTCCCACTTACGACCCACCAGAGAAAGCCAGATAAGCTCCCCTGAGCAATCACATAGGATGACCCACTACTAGTTAGCCGGCCTCCAACTTCCATACTCCACACTCAGGACACACCTCAGGCCATTTCTGTTTGTTGCTGTCAAGCTTTCCCTCTCCTGTGCCGGCCTTTGAGCCTTTGCCGGCCTTTGAGCGTTTGCCAAACGCAAAGACTGTGGTGGATTCCCCTGCTCTAGCGGGCTCTGAAAAAACATCTTCTGTGGTCCTTATCAGGTGGTCTCCTTTTACTTCCACGGCAGGTCTGGCCGTTGCAAAGGCCCACAAGGAAAGCACGAAGCCGTGCACGGTTCAGACACGAACGTCGCGCCCTCGACCTGTGTGGCAGACGCCCATGAGGAGAATCAGAGTCGTCCATTAATTCGGGGCCGAGGGGCAGAGCTAAAGGGGAGCAACATCCTCAGCCACAACCCGAGCTGTTGTTAAGAGATAAAAAGTTGGGTCGCCGACGCACAGACACCAAAGGCCTCAACGCTGCCGCTGCCGCTGCCGCTGCCGCTCGGAGCAACGGCGGCAGCAGCAGCTGGAAAAACTGCCACCGAAGCGAGAAAAACGGCCGCCAGCCCGCGGCCTTCTGGGACTTGTAGTTCGTTGCGCCTAGCGCGCGCACTTCCGCCACCCACCGGAAGTGCCGCCATTACCCGCGAGCGCAGGTGAGCCTGGCCCGGGACCCCGCGTGGGGGGACCCTGTATCCCCGAGGCCACCCCAGCCCCAGAACATGGACACGTTTTCTTCCACTGGTACGTGGACTTTGAATTTAACTTGAAGAGAAAGCGTAAGTTGTCCAGATGAACAAAAAATTAGGGGCAGTCCTGGCAGAGCAAATGGCCTCGGGCAAACTCCAGACCAGGGTGTTGGCCTGTGTTAGTTGTGTTTGGTGATGCCCCAAGTTAAGGGCTCGGTGTGAGAAGGGGCTGCATTGGTGAGCAGGACTAGTGGTGTGGAGAGCAGGGACACAAATTCCCGTGTGCGGGCTGGGGTTTGGATTACAGAGCCTCAATAAGTAGAAGCATCAGGCGGTGGATAACTCAGTGCAAGGGATAGTGCCAAGGGTGTAGAAAGAATGAGGAGGACTCTGACTTTTCATGCCTAGTGAGGAGCCAGGATGGAGGTCGCAGTGCAAGAGATGAGGAATCCGTAGTCAGTCTCAGCTGTGTTGAGTCCAGGAGTCTTGTCAATGATAGAGTTAATCCGTAGTTGACCTAAGAAAGAAACAGAACTTAAAAAAAAAATTGTTTTATTTATTATTGGTTGCACTGGGTCTTCGTTGCTGCGCGCAGGCTTTCTCTAGTTGCAGCAAGTGGGGGCCACTCTTCGTGTGGTGTGTGGGCTTATCACTGGGATGGCTTTTCTTGTTGCGGAGCACAGGCTCTAGGTGCATGGGCTTCAGTAGTTGTGGTATGCAGGCTCAGTAGTTGTGGTTCGCGAGCTCTAGAGCGCAGGTTCGTAGTTGTGGAGCACGCACGGACTTAGTTGCTCCACAGCATGTGGGATCTTCCCGGACCAGGGCTTGAACCGGTGTCCCCTGCATTGGCAGGTGGATTCTTAACCACTGTGCCACCAGGGAAGCCGAGAAATGGAACATTTTATTCAAGCAAACCTGAGGATTATAACTCAGGAAATAGTCTTTCAGAAAGCTCTGAGGACTGTTCCACCCTAGAGATCAAAGCACAGTTATATACCTTTTTGAGACAAAGGGTCATATATCAAATGATGAATTGATAGTTTATGTAATCCAGAGCTGCAGTACAAAGCCAGTAGTGGGTCACTGTGATCCCTTACAAAGAAGGAAGTTTGTCTCCTAAGGAGATAGGGTTAATGCAGATACAGGATACACACTAAATGGGAGGGAAGAGACCCAAACAAGCAGAGAAAAAGTTTATGTTTAGATTTTTCTTGTCTTGCCATAAAATATGAATTTTATTTCATTAAGTCTTTAGAGGCATGGCTGGATGTGGAGGAGGGAATGGCAGTGACAGGGAACCTGGGAGGGAGGTCTAGGCTGGACATAAAGCCTGGGGCGGCCCTTGAAACCCCACCCCCTCACAGGCAGGGAAAGAGGAAACTAGAAAAGGAAGGAGAGAGGCCTCTAGAAAGAGGGACGCCTGCCAGACCATTCCCCTCCTGGGTCCAGCATGAGGAAAAGAAGGGGAGTTTTATGTCCAACGATAACCAATATAATTAAATCTGCTGTGCCCCTACTGTGTGTCAGCACAATGTTAAGCAACTGTAAATGCAGCTCACATAATCATCACAGCAGCACCACAAGGCAGGGCCTGCTCTTCTCCCGGATGTCTACAGATGAGGCTCAGAGAGGTTAAGGAGGCCTGTTCAGAGTCCTACAGAGGCACGTGGTGGAACTAGGACTTCGAAAGCAGGCAGTCTGACTGCGGAGGGGAGTTGTTCCCAGCGCTCACCCTAGGGTGTCCCCAGACTAGGAAGAAGAGGATCAGAGGGTGGAAATGGACACGGGTAGTAGGAAATTGCCCGTGGATGGATGGGAATGTCAGAACAAGGTAGCATCATATAGAGTCTTCAGCGGCCTTCTTAGGTGTGGTGAACATCTGTGTGTGTGCATGGCGTGGGTGTGCTTTTGGTACAGGCAGGGTAAGAGGGAGTCAAACATAGAGAAGGGTTTGGGGGGCAAGATTCGGGAGGATTTTTGCCTGGCTGTCTCAGTGGGACTGTCACGTGACTACAGCCAAGATACTAGATGGGCAGAGTATGGGAAGCAACGACAGTGTTAAATAAAGCAGGGGATAATAGGTGTGGCCCACAGGCAGTGGGGCAGCACCCAGCAGCTCCAGAAGGATGATACCCACCTCTCAGAGTGCCCTTAGCTGTCCTCCTGGTGATTTTCATATCCTCCTTGTCCCCATACCCCACCTCCATTTTTAGAAACCAGCTGATGTTTCATTGGGATATTTTTTAATTGTACGATTAATTGTTTTGACACTGCCTCCACTTCTCCCTATTTAGTATCTTGAAATAAGAGGAAATACTGGTCCCTCCTTTATTTGAGTGTTGAAGGACTGCTGTGTATCTTTGGGCTCATGGTTCAGACACCCCAGCACGTGCCTCAAGGCATTTACCTTGAGCCTGGGGTAGCCCAGGCCCGGACCCAGGCAGACTGGCCCTCTCCACAACTGGAAAGCTGGCTCGGCCACCTCAGCTGACCTCAGAGCCTTGAACCGGGAGAACAAGTGGTCAGAGCCCCACCTCTCTGCCCCTCACTCCCCAAGGGATGGTCCTCAGCTGGCATTGGCCACCCTCTCCTTTGGGGATGGGAATGGACTCAGGAGCGTGGAGATACTTAGGTGGGGCTGAATCCCTAATTGTTCCCCCAACCCCAGCCCTGCCTTCTGAGGACCTCTGCCCTCTTCAGGACAGCTTCTCCGAGTATGAGGAGGAAATGGAGGCATATTCTCAGCAGATCCTGTCTCAGGTGAGTTGGGGACCTTCACTTTCATTGCCTTAGTCTCCTTGGCTGTAAAATGTGTCCAAGGATAACACCCACCTCCTCAGGCTAGCACACACGAGAGTTCTATAATGCTGCCCTATGCCTTGGGGTGAAGGCTACAGGCTCTCTGCGTGAACAAGCCAGGAGCTCCACAAACCTGGTTCCCTGGGCCAGGTCTCTGCCTCAGACTTTTTATTTGTGGTTTTTGCTCAGTGGGCCCTTGAGGGCAGGCAGAGCTGAGCCTCCATAAACATGCAGGCACTCTGGGCCCATTGATCCTCGCTGAGACCACTCAGGAGGGCAGCTGAGAGTGTCCCCATAAAGAGCCAGAGTCACGCTTAGACAGCTCATGGTGCAGCACACGGCAGGTGGGGGGGGGGGGTCCCTGACCTCCTTCAGGGTCCCAGCATCATACACTTCCTGGGTGCCAGGGGTCAGTTGCAGTCATGTCCTGTGAGACTTCCCAGTGCAGGAGGCTGTCTTCATAGTCACATCAGGGCAGCTCACGCCGAGAAGTTCAGGGACACGTCCACGTGTCCAGCTAGCAAGTCGTGAAGCAGAGAGGCCAACTTGGCCTGGCCCCCAAGGCCAGGACATGTGGCCCCTTACCTCCTGGCCTCCCTTGAGCATAGGCTTGACCAGCCTTTTCTGTAAAGGGCCAGGTGGGAACTATTTTAGGTTCTTCAGGCCACATACAGCTTCTACCTCATATTCTTTTTTTTTTTATGTGGTCCTTTAAAAACATAAAATCCTTTCTCAGCTCTATTAGTCTACTTGGGCTGCTGTAACACAGTACCACCCACTGGGTGGCTTGGACAACAGCCATTTGTTTTCTCACAGTTCTGGAGGCTGGAAGTCCAAGATCAGGGTGCTAGCAGGGTTGGTTTCTGGTGAGGACTCTTTCTGGCTTTCAGATGGTGCCTTCTCTATGTCTCCACATAGTAGGGAGAGAGAGAGGCCTCTGGTTTCTCCTCCTCCTCTTGTAAGGACACCAGTCCCATCACTTTAGAGCCCTGCCCTATGACCTCCATTAGCATTAATTACTTCCGTAAAGGCCCTGTCTCCAGATAAGTCACATTGTGGCGTAGGACTTCAACATGTGGATTCATGGGGAAACAATTCAGCTCATGGCATTAGCCTTCTAAAAACACACCACAGCCCTGATTTGTCCCATGGGCCACTGTGTGCTGACCCCTGATTTAGAGCATCCTCTTTGACTGGCTTCCAATCTGATTTTGTAGAGAGGCTGGGGATGGGGATCTCCAAGAGGGGTCCCCGTTGTTCCCCAAAACAGAAAATCGGGATCACTGGTGTGACCAGCGGTCGATGAGATACCCAGGCAGAAATGAAAACTCCATGGGCCTGAGTCTAGGTCTGATCTGAGCAAGGGGTTCTCCCTCCTCTGTACTTTCCTGTCCCCCCAACCTCCTCGTTGAGAAAGCAGGGTCCCATGGTAACACCAGTGATGTTTCAGCCACCTGTGAGCTTCAAGGACGTGGCTGTGACCTTCACATGGGAGGAGTGGGGACAGCTGGACCTGGCCCAGAGGATGCTGTACTGTGAGGTGACTCTGGAGACCTGCAGTCACCTGGTCTCCCTGGGTAAGGCAGGCACTGCCCATCGCAGGACCCAGAGTGTGGCTCACCTCAAGGGTGTGCCCAGGCTGGACCAAAATGTGCTGGAAGTGGGTCCCTTTGAGATTTGGGTCCTGGTATTGCCGCTCATTCCACCTCCAGAGCAGATCTGTGGCTTGTCGTTCAGGGAGTGGGAAATCTCCTCTGGAGGGTGCGGGGGCCCTCCTAGTCCATTCACGTCTGACCCCAGGGGTGAGGGCTGGGCCTGTCACCAAGCAGAAGACCAAGCCCTCTGTTTTTCCTCCGTTGACCAGGGCTTCTGCTTTCAAAACCGGATGTGATCGCCCGACTGGAGCAAGGGGAAGACCCATGGAGGGTGGAGCAGGGACCTCCCCGAGGTGAGAACAGGCCAGTGGCCCAATGGTTAAGGTCCAAGGAGCAGGGAGGCCGTTTTCGGGGAGTTTGCTCAGGTGTTCTCTGCTGCCTCCTTGTGTCCAACAAGGCAGCTATGTTCTCATCCACATCAGCCTGTCTCTGTGCCCAGCCCACCCACGGAGAGCACTTGTTGCTGTCGTCAGGACATGTCTCACACATGGGTTCATTTCTGTCCCCGTCTTCCTCTGGTCTTCACCCCTCTGCTGCCACATCTCATTCCCATGTCCTCATGCCCCCTCTTTTCCTCCATCCTCTCATCTGACTTCTACCCAGGGTGAAAGCTCCTCAGCCCTCCCCTTCAGGCTGGTCTTTGCTCTGCCATTTGAGTGATCAGCCCTCCTCCATGTTGGACGTTCCCATGTCTTCAAGATGATTCCAAGGTGTGGTAAAAACTTGTGCGTCTAAGCCTTCCAGAAGGATTCCTACTAAACCTTCCTGGACCTGCTTTCCCACCTCCCCTCATCCCACAGGCCCACCTCCTACCTTGTGTGTCAGCCTAATTGGAATTATTTTTTCTTTTTCTTTTTTTCTTTTAGAGCTGTATCAGAATACAGTTTACATACCATACAGTTCACCCATTTAAAATATGCAAAGGCTCTTAGTATATTCGCAGCATGTGTATCCATCACCACAATCTATTTTAGAACATGTTCATCATACTGACTAATTGGGCTGCTTCTGATCTTTTGTTGTTTTGTTTTAATTCATAGACTTTATTTTCTTATTTATTTATTTATTTAGCTGTGCTGGGTCTTATTTGCGGCATGTGGGATCTTTAGTCACGGCATGAGAACTGTTAGTGTGGCATATGGGATCTAGTTCCCTGACCAGGGATCAAACCCCGGCCCCCTGCATTGGGAGCATGGAGTCTTAGCCACTGGACCACCAGGAAAGTCCTCATTGATAGACTTTATTTTTTTGAGCAGTTTCATGCTTACAGAATGTACAGAGTTCCCGTATACCACCCCACCCCACACAGTTTCCCCTATTATTAATGTCTTGCATTCTTTGGCACATTTGTTACAGTCGATGAACTTATATTGATAAATTATTATCAACAGAGATCAACAGTTTACATTAGGTTCACTGTGGTGGTGTACGTTCTGTGGGTTTGGACAAATATATAATGTTATATATGCACCACTATAGTATTGTACAGACTAGTTCCACTGCCCTAAAAATCCTCTGTGCTCCACCTATTCACCCTCCCTCCACCCTAACGCCTGGTAACCACTGATTATTTTACTGTCTCTGTAGTTTTACCTTTTCCAGAATATCCTATAGTTGGAATCATGCAGTATGTGTTCTTTACTGAGTGGCTCCTTTCATTTAGCAATAAGCAACATGTTTGTCCTTTATACCACCTTGCCCCAGCCTGGAGGTGTTTAATTTATCTCATGTGTTCCTGTGCCTTTTTACCCTGTTACTCTCTTGCCTGCAGCTTCTGTCATTTCTTACTTCTGAACTCTTACCTACTTTTATTTACCCTTGGTTCTCAAATGACATCATTCTGAATTTAATTTACCAGCAGTGTCTTTCTTCTCTTCTGTCATAGACGTTACTTTCTTGCTGACCTGCACAATCTGTCTTCCTCATTTCAAGATCTTGGTGCAGATGCTACTCTAGAATTTTAACCTCCTTTGCCCAGTTTCCAACAGCCAGGCACATCTTGGACATATCTTAGCCACTCAAAGATTTCTTTCCTTTCCTCCTCCAAATACCCTTTCACTCCCCTTCATGGGGCTGTTGTTTCATTTGAAAAGTTCTCATCATCAGAGATTCCAAGTCAACACCCCAAAGGAACACAGCAGAGTCTTGGGAAGGAGAACAGTGCTGGTTATGGGAGGGGTTGGGCATAGATAAGGACCTTCCCCATGAGGGAAAGAAGGTCTTTGTTGGGCAGAAGGGAAACTTCCTCCTGGAAGTCAAAAGATAGCCGGAGAGTGTAGGTCATACTTTGCCAAATGGAGGATACTTATCTCCTTGGCAGGCATAGGGAGAGAAGCATGGGACCCTGGGAAAAGGCCTTGATATTACCGGATGTGGGTGGCTACCTGACTGAAGAGGATAGTATGTGGGCAAAGTGACAAGTAAAAAGGGAATCCTGGAGGATGCAGGTGAGGATCCTGACCTGGGAGCCTGTGGCACTCTTTGTTAAAGGCCCAGTATCTTCAACAGGCAGAGGAATCGCCTTTAGAACCATAATAAGGGTGACGACATCAACAGTACCATGTATAGCAGTGCACCATGTGCCAGGCACTGTGTGAGGCTCATGCTGATTCATTTATGCCTCGAAGTAACCCTTGTTAGCTAAGCATTCATATTCCTGGCTTACTGCCAAGGAAATCGAGCCTCAGAAGTTGCCAGCTCGTGGAGTCCACTTGTGGCCCAGTCTGGCCAAGCACCCTGCTTCAGGGACCACAGCACTTTTCTGGGGAGTCTGTGACATCGATTCTGGAGTGGTTAAAGGGCCTTTTATTTCTCTGTGGGCAGCCTGAAGTGATGGTAGAAATGGTACATTAAGAATATTAAATTAATGTTGGTATTTGGGATCTCGTTTCAAGATCCAGCACCAGGAAATGGATAGACTAAGATTGTGGATCATAAGGTTGAGGCACATGTTAAGATCCTGTTTCCTGTGACTGCTATTACAGATTACCAACTTGGTGGCTTAAAACAACAAAAATTGATTCTCCCACAGTTCTGGAGGATACAAGTCCAAAATCAGTATCACTGTGTTAAAATCAAGGTGCAGCAGGGCCATGCTCGCTCCAGAGGCTCCAGTAGGGAATTCATTCCTTGTCTCTTCCAGGGGTGGCTTTGGGATTCCTTGGTCTGTGCCCACATCACTTCAGTCTTTAAGGCCAACACCTTCAGATCTCTTTGCTCTGTGTTCAGAATGCTTTCTCTGTGTGTATCAAATCTCCTTCTGCCTCCCTCGTATAAGGACACTTGTGATAACATTTGGGGCCCATCCAGATAATCTCCCCATCTCAAATCCTTAACACATCTGTAAAGATCCTTTTTCCAAATAAGGTATCATGTTGACAGGTCCCAGCAAAGAGAATGTAGGTATCTGTTGTGGTGATTGAGGGCTTTATACCTTCAGACCCAAATTTTTTGTGTGAATTTCTCCTTTAAGCTTCACCCTTCCCTGCTTATTTTATTCCTCTGCTCCCTCTTTGGGGAACCAGTCCTCCTGAGTCATCTCTTCGTTACCTGTGCTTGCTCTTTTGTATTTTACCACTGATTTCCTCTTTGCTGAGCCATCCCTTCCTTTCACACCCTGCATGAAATTACAGTCCATGGATTAGAAACAAACCCAGAGATACCTCTCATACTTGGTGGTCTCCTTCATCCCACTCTCCCCTTCTAATGCTTCTCCAGTAATTCAGGCAATTTGGATTTCTTTCAGACTGGAAGACTACACTGGAAAAGAAAGAATCAGCTTCTGAAGAGGGTATTGCTGTGGAACAGCCATCTCACCACATGGAAATGAAACACTGTGTACAGGAGGAGGGCCCCTGGTTGGTGTCATTAGGAGAAGTACAGCATTGGAGGGAGCAGCTAGGGAAGCACCAGGAGGACTCTCTGAGTCAAACAGTACTTATCTCAGAGAGACTTTTTGCTCAAGGGGGTAGTTATCTGAGTCTAAGCCTTCTACCTCTGACATTACCCACAAGAACACATTTCCATAAGCTCAACTCACAGGTTAAAAGGTTGAAACAGCATTCGGTTTTCATTAATCATCAGAAAAACTGGGCTGATCTGAAGTCCTGTGAAGATCATCAAAGTGCTAGAGCCTTCTGTCAGAGCACTTACTTGAATAAAATTGCAAATGTTGAAACAGGAAATAAAAAACCTTATGATTATACTGTCAGTAGTGACTCTTTCAACTGTGGTACCTCCCTTCATTTTCTTAATAGAATTTTTCCAGCAGAGAATGGCAATGACAGTAAGGACGATGGAAACAGCATTAATCATAGCATGCCTCTGAATGAACACAAGCCAATGAATTTTGGAGAAAGTCAGTACGAGTGCGATGAATGCCTTGTACAAACCGAAATAAGTGATCCTGGAGAGGCACCATTCAGATGTGAGGAGGACTGTGGTGCCTTCCACGTGGCCTCATCTTTTCCTGACTGTGACATCATTCAGACTGGAAAGAAGTCATATGCATGTAATCAGTGTGCAAAATCTTTCAGCTGTTGCTCTAAGCTTGTTGTACACAAGAGAACACACACAGGAGAAAAGCCATATGAATGTACTCAGTGTGGGAAGTCTTTCAGCCAGAGCTATGACCTGGTTGTACACCAGAGAACTCACACTGGAGAAAAGCCCTATGAATGCAACCAGTGTGGGAAATCCTTCACCCAGAGTTCTAAACTTATTAGGCATCAACGAACTCACACTGGAGAAAAACCATATAAATGTTATGAATGTGGAAAATCTTTCAGGTGGAACTCTAACCTTACTGTTCATCAAAGAATTCATACTGGAGAGAAACCTTATGAGTGTGCTCACTGTGGAAAGTCCTTCAATCAAAGCTCTGACTTTGTTGCACATAAAAGGACTCACACTGGAGAGAAACCCTATGAATGTAACCAGTGTGGAAAATCTTTCATTCGAAGCACTCAGCTTATTAGGCATCTGCGAATTCATACTGGAGAGAAGCCATATAAATGCAATCAGTGTGACAAAGGCTTCACTGGGAGCTCTCACCTTATTGAACATCAGAGAACTCATACTGGAGAGAAACCGTTTGAATGTAATCAGTGTGGGAAAGGCTTCACTGAGAGCTCTCACCTTCTTTCACATCAGAGAATTCATTTTGGAGAGAAACCGTATGAGTGTAATGACTGTGGGAAAGCTTTTCGGCAGCGATCTCAGCTTGTTGTGCATCAGCGAACACATACTGGAGAGAAACCTTATGAATGCAGTCATTGTGGAAAAGCTTTCAGCCAGAGGTCTCCCCTCATTGTGCATCAGAGAATACACATTGGAGAGAAGCCCTATCAGTGTAACATGTGTGCTAAAGCCTTCAGTCAGAGGTCACGCCTTATTGAACATCAGAGAACACATGCTGGAGAAAAGCCCTATGAATGCATTGACTGTGGGAAAGCCTTCAATGATCGATCAACGCTTACAAAACACGAGAGAACACACACTGGGGAAAAGCCCTATGAATGTAATCATTGTGAAAAGGCCTTTAGCCAGCGGTGTCAACTTACTAGGCATCAGAGAATCCATACTGGAGAGAAACCCTATGAATGTAATGAGTGTGGAAAAGCTTTCAGTTATAGTACATCCCTTATTCAACATGAGAAAACCCATGGGAGAGAAACCCTATGAATAATCAAGATGGAAAAGCTCACTGCCAGACTTTCTTTACTAGACATCAGATGACCAAGGTATGATTCTCAGAGTGTAGTCTAATAACCATATACATCAGAATTGCTTGGAATGTGTGTGTTGAAACTGCACATTACCAAGCTTACACTCAGTTTACTACATCAGAATATCTAGCAGTAAAACCCAGGAGCCTGCAGTTTCCAAAAGGAGCACATGTGATTTGTATGTATACTAAAATTTATATACTTCTGCATTTAGGTCGTGAATATGACCACTGATGAAAAGCATTCATCAGAGCTCTCAGCAGAAGTTAGAAAACTCAGAATGGAGCTGTACCCACCTGATAATTTTTTAGTGCATACAGCCACCCAAACTCATCAGACGTTGTCTCCACATTCACGGAAATGATGGGGAACTGAAAGATACTCTTTACACAGAGCCCCAAACACTCAACCTAAGAAGAAACCGTTGCAGGAGGAAGTTGGTATTTGGAAATGAAATTTGAAGCCAGCCATGTTCAGTGTAAACCAGCAATTAAAAACACAAATTGGGGAATTTTTTGGTGGTCCAATGTTTAGGACTTGGTCCTTTCACTGCCAGGGCCTGGGTTCTATCAACGGTCAGGGAACTAGGATCCCGCTGCATGGCGTGGCAAAAATAAACAAAAAACAAATTGAAGGAAAACTAATGATGGGAAGTCTTCTAAAATGATTTTTATTGGAATTAAAAGTAGACTCAATTTTTCAGGGACTCTGTCATGCTCTAACTTAAGTTTGTTGCTCAGTTAGTTGACTAATCAAAAGATGTCAAGTGAAGTAGAAACAGGGCTCAAAACAGTATATACACAGAATGTTACAACATAAAATCATGTGCACAGATGGTTGGTTAAGAAGGTCAACTCGGCAGCATGTTCAAAAAAAGGCTGAAGTATAAATCAGTGGTGAAGCAAGTGGGAGAGGCCGTTATTGCAAGTTTGAGCAAGGTGAAAGCAGTTGAGAGCATTGCCTGGAGATGCAGAGTGGGAAAGGCTGTAGCTAGGAACTTTCAAAGAGGGAGCTGCAGGAGTGGAGGTCACAGCCCCCCTGTCAGAGCTGTAGACTGACAAGTGGGGCAGGAAAGCAGGGTTCATTGAAGGTCTGTCCGTGAAACTCCTAATTTGCTCTCTCTTCTCTTGCGTTAAGTATCTGGCCATGGGTAAGCAAAAAATATAGTAGAGAATGAATTATATGCTATAAAGAAAAGTCTGAGGTCCTCGGTGCTGCCTACGGAGGTGGCCTCCATCTCTTACTCGGCATCATGGCTGCCCTCAGACCCCTCGTGAAGCCCAAGATCGTCAAATAGAGGACCAAAAAGTTGATCCGGCACCAGTCAGACCAATATGTCAAAATTAAGCGGAACTGGCGGAAACCCAGAGGCATTGACAACAGGGTGCGCAGGAGATTCAAAGGCCAGATCTTGATGCCCAACATCGGTTACGGGAGCAACAAGAAAACAAAGCACATGCTGCCCAGTGGCTTCCGGAAGTTCCTGGTCCACGTCAAGGAGCTGGAAGTGCTGCTGATATGCAACAAGTCTTACTGTGCTGAGATTGCTCACAACGCCTCCTCCAGGAACCGCAAAGCCATTGTGGAGAGAGCAGCCCAGCAGGCCAGCAGAGTCACCAATCCCAACACCAGGCTGCACAGCGAAGAAAATGAATAGACAGCTCGTGTGCACATTTTGTTTAATAAAACCGTAAAATGGCCAAAAAAAAAAAAAAAAAGTCTGAGGGACTAGGGAATCTGGTGTATTATGCTCCAGAACAAGTGCTGCCTTATTTTGGCATTTCAAGGATGTTCATCCTAACAGCTGGTTCTTACCCCTTTAATCCTAAAGCAAAATGTGCCATTAAACCAGCCCCACCCATCTGTGGAGCTTCCCCTCTGCTTTCTGATAGCTTCTTCAATATCATGAGAGCTAGGGAGTGAAAGATTAAGAAAGCCTCCAATATGAATGAAAAAATATCTGGGGCTTCCCTAGTGGTGCTGTGGTTAAGAATCCACCTGCCAATGCAGGGGACATGGGTTCAAGCCCTGGTCCGGGAAGATCCCACATGCCGTAGAGCAGTTAGCCCGTGTGCCACAACTACTGAGGCTGCACTCTAGAGCCCGCGAGCCACAACTACTGAAGCCTACACGTCTAGAGCCCATGACCCGCAACAAGAGAAGACACCGCAATGAGGAGGCCCTGCTCGCCGCAACTAGAGAAAGCCCACGCACAGCAACAAAGACCCAATGCAGCCAAAAATAATTAATTAATAAAATTATTTTTTAAAAAAATCTAAGATAAAACAGACAAAAAAAAACCACCAAAGAGAACAGATATTCAGGAGAAATAAATATTTTAAATGTTTTATTCTAGGAGTGAGTCAAGAAATAATTGCAAATGAAAAATAAATCCAAGATGCTCTTTTAAAAAGAACAGACTTCCTGAAATTAAAAGTAAGACTGTTAGGCCAAAAAGAAAAGAAAAGAAAGAAAGAAAAAGGGAAACTTCTCCAGAGCTGAAAGATCTTCAGATCATGGATAGATCCACGCAGCATGAGAAATTGAGAACACAATTAAAAAGACATCACAGGGCTTCCCTGGTGGCGCAGTGGTTGAGAGTCCGCCTGCCGATGCAGGGGACACGGGTTCGTGCCCCGGTCCGGGAAGATCCCACATGCCGTGGAGCGGCTGGGCCCATGATCCATGGCTGCTGAGCCTGCGCGTCCGGAGCCTGTGCTCCGCAACGGGAGAGGCCACAACAGTGAGAGGCCCGCGTACTGCAAAAAAATAAAAATAAAAAATCACAGGGTGGGACTTCCCAGGTGGTGCAGTGGTTAAGAATCCGCCTGCCAATGCAGGCAACACAGGTTCGATCCCTGGTCCGGGAAGATCCCTCATGCCACGGAGCAACTAAGCCCATGCACCACAACTACTGAGCCTGCGCTCTAGAGCGTGGGAGCCACACCTACTGAAGCCCACGTGTGTAGAGCCTGTGCATCACAACAAGAGAAGCCACCATGAGGAGTCCATGCACTGCAACAAAAGAGTAACCCCTGCTTGCCACAACTAGAGAAAGCCCATGCAGCAACAAAGACCCAAGACAGCCACACACACACACACACACACACACACACACACACACACACACACACACAAAAATCACAAACTTCTGGAAAGAATTTTGAAAGTAGAAAAGGAATATATTTTAAGAAAAAGGAATGTTTCTTCTAATTAAAAAAAAGTTAATCAGAGACTTCAAAGTAAGCAAATTGAGAAAATGTACAGATTGTACAAGAAAATTGCAGTCCAAATGTGAAGCAAACTTTTTTATATATAAATTTATTTATTTACTTTTGGCTGCATTGGGTCTTCAATGCTGCACGTGGGCTTTCTCTAGTTGTGGTGTGTGGGGGCTACTCTTTGTTGCGGTGCGCGGGCTTCTCATTGCCGTGGCTTCTCTTGTTGGGGAGCACAGGCTCTAGGCTCGCGGGCGTCAGTAGTTCTGCCACTCGGGCTCAGGGCTTGAACCTGTGTCCCCTGCATTGGCAGGTGGATTCTTAACCACTGCACCACCAAGAAAGCCCCTGAAGCAAACTTTAGAAAGGAGTATTCGTTTGACCCTTGTGTTAATAATTCTTCCTGGAAGAGGCAGAGGACTCAGGAAATCGAAAAAAAAGAGGGGGAAATATAATCGTTGTTTTGATTGGCCCTTCACTGAACAGTGTTTGCATAGCTCTGGTATAAACAGTAGATACTGTTTATTTTTATTTTTCAATTTTAGGAAGAAACCCAAATCTGTGACAGAATAGATTTCATAATGGCAACAGAGTGGCGTGCCATTGTTCCCAGTCCTGTCACCAATAGTAATGGCGCAGCCTGTGACTGTTACAAAGTAGAAAGGGGAAGAGAAGTAGAAAGGAGGGAGTGTATCCCCGTATCATCATCTTAGGAAGCGGGCTTTTAAATACAATACTTTAGGTTACTTAGGAGACGAAAACTAGAACTCAAAACAGTAATATGACAAAAAGTTGGAAGCAAATAGAAGAGCAACAACGTAAGTCAAATCTAAATTCCTTATTGGAGCAGGAAGCCAGTAAGGTCTATAGACAAAGAATTGCAGAGGTGGCCTCAGGAAGAACCAGAATAGAAATGGCTAAAAGTGGTTGATGGGATTTGTGACTGTTGGGTAAGGTGGGGCAGGAGACAACTGCTTTCCATTTTAAAACGTCTGTAGTGTTTTATTCCCTGGTGGTACACTTCTTATTTGGGTAACAAATTATTTCAAATGTGTACCTATAGGTGAGCAAGACTACAGTGCATGAAGACATCTGCAGTTGATTTGGGGGTTATGTACATGTTGCCTTTTGATTCAGTGTCACTGTAAATTGAAGATTAAAGAAGCAAGAGCTTAAAGAAAAGATGTCAGGCTCTTCTGTTTTGCCAATCAGAGTTGATTCCAGTAGAGCAGGAAGGCTCCTTGGCTTCTTAGAATTCCTTGGAGTCCTTTTAAGGCTCTAAGACTTTATTTTCCAGAAACCTTATCACCAGGAAGTCAGTGGGCCCCAGAGAGGTGCTGGTATCCTAGGACACCTGGGTGGACAAGACAGGTGTGTGAATTTGTATAACCACCAAATACTGAATGTACTCCCCCAAGGTCACTCTGGCAGTTACCTGGTATTTACTTTCCATAAGACCCTATAAGTAACGGCCCACATGATTCATATGAGACCCTGAGTTTGAGACAGGGAATGCCTTCCTACAGTGGCCTGGACAGAACAGAGGGGACTTTGCTGCCTGGTTAGGTAGTTGGTCCTGCTGCTGAAACCAACCTTGTGTAGCTTTCAGAAGATGCTGGGGCCTGGGAGGAAGGACTTGTGCAATGGATCTAGCAAAGTGAGTGTTGTTTGACAATTCTTGTTGACCAAACACCTGAGAGACATTTCCATTCAGCAAGTCTTAAAAGTAGCCTTGTTCGGTGAAGACACTATTTAGGGACTCAGTACGGAAGATGCGTGTGATGCCGCAGTGCCCTCAAGTCCCTTCTTCCCAAGATGGGGACGCCACACAGGAGCATAGGGGTTATGGGTTCCTGGAGACCACACTCTGTGGGAATCACACAAGAAGGATGCATGTAGGGGGCTGGGGGGAATGGAAGACAGAAGTTGCTGTGTACACAGTGAGTGCTTCAGGCCCTGCTCTGAGAGGGGTTCTACACTTTCATAAATCAGAAACCGGAGGCTCTTAAGGACCCAAGAAATGGGCTCATTTGAAATAGAAACCTGAGACCTTTCCGCCCAAATGATTCTCATACCCAGTGGTTCCAAATCAAAACGTGCATAAGACCCACCTGAAAGGAAGTGTTAGAATTACAGCTTATTGGACCCATCTTAACATGTTGTAAAGAGTAATCTCGGGCTTCCCTGGTGGCGCAGTGGTTGAAAGTCCGCCTGCCGATGCAGGCGACACGGGTTCATGCCCTGGTCTGGGAAGATCCCACATGCCGCGGAGCGGCTAGGCCCATGAGCCATGGCCGCTGAGCCTGCGCGTCCGGAGCCTGTGCTCCACAATGGGAGAGGCCACAACAGTGAGAGGCCCACGTACTGCAAAAAAAAAAAAAAAAAGAGTAATCTCAAAATTGTATATCCATATATCTATTTCCTCTTTGTTGGTTTCACTTACATTTGTGGCTTAATTTTTAGAAGACCTTAAACAGATAGCACAACTGTGTTACATGTGACCCAGGGGCTCCTTTTAACAGAAATCCATTCTCCCTGCCCACCCCCACCCCCGCTTTTTAAAACACAGATACCAAAATAATCATAATGTATTTTTGATACAACCAGTAGTGAATCTATTGGTGGCCCACAAGACCACTCCCACATCTAGAGATTTTTCTAGAATTCATGGGGCTCAGCATCCAGCTGTACTCATGGCTGAGATTTACGGCAGTGGTGTACTAAGGATACACAGTTGTTGGGACTTCCCTGGTGGTCCAGTGGGTAAGTCTCTGTGCTCCCAATGCAGGGGGACCAGGTTCGATCCCTGGTCGGGGAACTAGATCCCACACGCATGCTGCAACTAAGACTCCATATGCCACAACTAAGAAGTCTGCATGCCACAACTGGAAAAAAAAAAATTCCGTATGCTGCAACTAAAGATCCCGCATACTGCAGTGAAGTTCCCATGTGCCTCAACTAAGACCCAGTGCAGCCTAAATAAATAAATAAATATTTTTAAAAAATATACACAGTTGTAGGACTTCCCCAGTGGTCCAGTGGTTAAGATTCCACGCTTCGACTGCAGGGGGCACGGGTTCAATCCCTGGCAGGGGAAATGAGATCCTACATGCCATGTGGCACAGCCAAAAAAATAAGAATAAAAATAAAGGATACGAGGCTTCCCTGGTGGCGCAGTGGTTAAGAATCCGCCTGCCAATGCAGGGGACACGGGTTCAAGCCCTAGTTTGGGAAGATCCCACATGCCACGGAGCAACTAAGCCCGTGCACCACAACTACTGAGCCTGCGAGCCACAACTACTGAAGCCCGCGCACTTAGAGCCCGTGCTTCTCAACAAGAGAATCCACCATAAGAAGCCCGCACACCACAACAAAAAGTAGTCCTCACTCGCCGCTACTGGAGAAAGCCGGCGCGCAGCAACGAAGACCCAACACAGCCAAAAATAAAATAAATAAATTTATATATTAAAAAATCTTTACTTTAAATAAATAAAAAAAAAACAAGAGCTGTTCCCAAGGAGAAGATAATAGACTCAACACCCCACCACTACCTCTCTACCCTCGGGGGGCCTGCTGCTAAGGGGAAGGCAATAGATCCTCCTGGGACCTCCTGGGTCCCTCCTGGGACCTTCTCTGCCCACGGAGAAAGGAATACCACCAGGAAATTTTGTTGGGCTCCCAGTAGAAGCCAGATTCAGTCTCCTGGAGGCTGCCTGACCCGTGGTTCCCACAGCCACGGTGAGTGGTGAGTGAACACATGCTCCTCCTGGCACCGCAGGCCTGGTGGGGTTGGGTCCTGGGTGTGGTTGCAGGGGAAATGCCCAGCAGATTGCAGAACGGTGGTTGGACTGAAGCGGAGAGATGCAGGAGCAGCAAAGGGATGACAGGGATGGGAGTGAGTGCAGAAACCGCGCGCCCCTTGGAAGCCGGCTGCCCCATCCCCGCAGTGACCACGGTCGTTCACCCTTTTGTCATGTTTGTGGTTTACTGTCTGTCTCTCCCCACTATACCAACAGCCCCATGGGGGCGGGCGAGTACCTCTGTTCTCTGCCTTGCTGTGCCTGGTTCCTAGCACACAGTACATGATCAAATAAATATTTGTTCTGGTTAGACTGCATCCTGGTGAACATCTGATTTTCCTTTCTTCTTTTCTAATAAACTTTTTAATGGACTCTAACAGAACCACAGATATGACCCTTCGCAAAAGGAATACCCCAAATCGAGAAACAGAACATGATCAGCTCTCAGAACCCGCCTGTGCCCCCTCTGGGCCCCTAGCCCCCTAAACCTATTCTATTAACAAAATCTTTAAACGTTCATGTAATTGTAAAGCATAGAAATATTTTAAGCACAACGGCGGTATACGATCCACAGACAAACAAGGAAAGCCCCAGGCCTCCTCCTGCGCCTTTCCAGCTGGGAAGAGCAGGCCCAGATTTCAACCCGGGCCGTGGCATTCCAGGTTGCAGACTAGCTTTCCGATGCCAGGCCACAGGGCGCAGACTGGCATTTGGAAGCGGGGCCGCAGGGCGCGGACTGGCATTTGGTCTGGGAGAACGACTCCCCCACCATCGGGGTCCGCAACACCATAGCCACTGGCGCTGGACCCCCACCCGCCTAGGCCCACAGCGCGGCGGCCTGAGGGGCCCCATTGGCCGAAGGGCCAGAGAGAGGAAGCCCCCATTGGTTGAAGCCTCGATGAACGAAGGCTTTCATTGGCCGGGGCTGCAGCGCACTGCACAGCCTTCTGGGAGCTGTAGTTGCAGCGTCGCCGGCGCGGCCGCCATTGTCCGGCGGGCGGCGAGTCCCGCGGTCCCTGTAGCGGGTGGGGCTCTCTGGTTCAGGTTCACCTCGGGCGCCAGTCCTCGACCTGTCGGCCCAGGATGGACCCCGAGGAGGAAGTGGCGACACTGGCGATGGCTACGGGGCCGCCGGCGGAACGGCTTCAGGTAAGGCGGAACAATAATAGTAACAATAACAACGACAGCCGCGGGCCCCAGGCCGGGCATCTCCCTCAGATATTGACCCTTTACCCCTCGCAGCGCACGGTGAGCAGGGTCGGGCGTTATCCCCTGATCATACGGGGAGACTGAAGCCCAGGTCGGGCGCCCCGACTAGCCCAGCTGGTGAGGGGTGGCGTCGGGAATCGAACCCAGGCCTTCCAGTCCCCGATTGCGCATGCTCCGCAAGTCCTCCTGCCTTTCTGTCCCGGCCTAGAACTTGGGGTCATTCCCGAGGACCAGGCTGGCCCCGCCCCGAAGGCCGATCACCGTGAGCATGGGTAATAGTAACTGGAGTAAAGATGCTTCACCATGCGGAGTCAACCGACACCCACCCAGAGCCCCGCTCCCCGAACCGCCTGGCCCGCGGCCGGGGACAGCCTCTGGGGTGAGGACAGGTGACCACACACCGCGTTAATGGGGCGGGAGCGACCACCGGGTATGACCCCTGCGGGGCTGTGGGGGACTGCAGTACAGGGTAGTCTGCTTGCAAGGCCATCTGGGAAGGCGCCTGATTCAAAGCTCCAGCCTTTCTAGACAAAGTGGCCTCTGTTCTCCATGTAGGGCTGACTCCACGTAGCAGGAACCAAAAGAAATTCATAATTCCTGAAGCTCCGGGTCTTTGAAGTTACAGACTTTCTGTCTTTTTGTTGTTGTCTGCGGGGGGTTGCATTTATTTCACATTTGGTATGCAGAGTGAGACTCTCGACAGTCCTAGGTGTGCATGTGTTCAGAGACTTCTTGTTGCAGATTGGCAGGAAATGCAACCACGCTTTAGTTTGCTTTTGCTGTAGATGGCAGGGAGTGAGCAGTGTCAAAGACTACCAGAGCTGGACAGTAGTTAAAGCAGTAAAAACAGATTTTATTCAGGAACTGTTGCAATAGGGGGAAAGAGACTTCAGTATAGAGCTGGGCTCTATTCCGAATACAACAGGGGAAAGTGGGTATTTATAGTGGGGGGGGGGGGAATTCTTGCTAAACTGACCTAAAACAGGATTATTGCTGAAGCACCCAAATGAGGGGATGTTATCTGGAGGATTGTGGGGGATGAGGACTTTGAAAAGATATCAAGAGTGGTCAGATATGGAGGGTGAGATTCTGGCTAAATCAGTGGATTTTTGGTAAAAGTGAGTGATGCAGAAACGGACACAGAAGCCCAGAAGTCAAAGCTTAGTTGGGAACGGGGTTGTGAGGAGCCAGACTAAAGTTTGGTCAAGGAGAGAGTCTTTGTCAGCAGTGAGAGGCTTAAGAGAAAGTGTGTTCATTATTGGTTGCTGTGTAACAAATAATGAAAAATGTAGTGGCCTAAAACAACAATAAATATTATCTCAGTTTCTGATGATAGGAATCCTGGAATGACTTAGCTGGTGGTTTTGGCTTGGGCTCATGGCAGTAGAGGTGTCAGCCTGGACTGCTGTCACCTGAGACTTGACTGGGTCTGGAGGATCCACCTCCAGGATGGCTCATTCGCATGACAGGCAGGAGGCCTCTGTTCCTTCTCATGTGGGCCTCTCTGTGGAGCTGCCTGGGCGGCCTCACAACATGGCACCTAGCTTCCCACAAAGTGAGTGATCCAGGAGGGAGCTATGTGGAAGCCACAATGTCTTATGACCTGGGGTCAAAATTCACACTCTACTATATCCTATTGGTTGCATAAGTCAAACTTACTCGTATAGGAGGGGGCTACAAAGGGCTGGGGATCCCTGGGGGCCATCTTGGAGGCCAGCCACTACAGGAGGCGAGCACCAGAAGTGGAGGGCTTTGACGTCCAGTGTATTAGCGTCCTCTGGCTGCCATAGCATTACTACAAATGTGGTGGCTTAAAATATATACATTTGTTCTTAGAGTTTTGGAGGTTAGAAGTCTGAAGTCACCTTCACTGGGCTGTGATCAACATGTGGGCAGATCTGCCCTTCCTGTCAAGTCTCTAGGGGAGAATCTGTTTCCTTGCCTTTTCCAGCTGTTAGAGCTGTAGACCTTGCATTTTTTGGCTCATAGCCCTTTGTCCATCTTCAAAGCCAGGAGCATAGCATTTGCCTTAGTGGTCACGTTGTCTTCTGCCTTCTGTAGTTAAATCTCCCTCTGCCTTCCCTTCAGAAGAACATTTGTGATTGAATTTAGGGATCTCCTGGATAATCCAGGGTAATCTCCCTATTTTTAAAATTCTTAATCACGTCCACAAAGTCCCTTTTGCCATTTATGGTAACGTTCACATGTTCCAAGAACTAGGACCCAGATACCTTTGGGGGCCGTTTTTCAGCCAACCATAGCCAGGCTAAAAGGGGTCATCCTGTATCCGAAGATGGAAAGGAGCCATTCAAGTGTTTTAAGC